GGATTTAATCTGGAGGATGAATGGGGGCTTAACTTTACCAGTAAATCAGTGGCTGTGTACCAATGTCTGTTTTAATTACTAAATAGGGCACTATATATTGGTTATGCCATTTTAAATGAGTGTCTGAACAGCTAGTGGTTGAAAAAGTAGTAGACCTCAAATTTTCCAACAATGCACCTTGAAAAGTAGTGTAGTGATTCTTTAAGATGTTTATTGCCGACTCCGGTAGGGGTGGCATCTATCTTATTTAATCAGATATTTTTCGACTGTAATATATCGTTTATGAACACACACCCTACTGGCTGTGTGTTAGAACAACAAATGAAAGTGTGAATCAAGCTTAAATCATCGTCAAACGGATAATTCTGCACAAACATGGATTAAATTCACCACAACCTCAATTAAAAATATAAAATTTTATTTAAAAAAATCAGCTCCAAGTCAAACATATTTCAGTTAAAAACTCTTGACTAAAAACTAGTGAAACTAAACTAAACTACTACTGTATGTACAAAGGAAGGGAAATATGGTTGAAAACTATATCACAGTCTGTTTGTTTCATGCGGCCCACACCAAGGGAACGGCTTCTTCAGGAGACTTTCCCTCCAGTCCGGCTCTGTAATTTCTGAAACTTAGAGAAATGTGTTGCAAAAAGTCTGTTTTTGCAGCAGTCCACTTCTGAAAAGTCAACCATCATGACTTATCCTTGGTAATTCTGGCGCCATGGTGTTGTCCTCTCCCAATGTGAACCCAGGGGCAACTTCGCGAAAAGAGAGAGGAATCCTCTGCTGTGGGTTTTACTGTTCTCAGCTCTGTGGGGGGGGGGGGCAAGACACACCTCTGTGGGAGGGGTCCTGTGGAGACAGTTGGCTGAGAGGGGGTTGCAGAGCGGAGGAGAGAGTTCTCACTGCTCTTTTATGAGCGAAATTGCATCCTCTTGTCTAGTGATCACGTTAAGATGAAACATGGACATTGGTTCTCAATATCCAAATTATTATCATGGTTTATGGCACAACAGTAGTGATCTTCCACGGTCACTAGACAAGCAGATATATCCTGGAATGCGAATTGAATACTGGAATCGTGAATTGTGACAGTGGGTCACTGTCGTGACAAATGACAAAGATGGCAAATTTACTGTGTGGGGAATCAGAGTTATGTGACCAACGGGAAGTAAAAAGTAGGGAAGATCTTTTTAAATGGTCAGTGAACTGGGTTCACTATAAAGTCCATTATATAGTTCCCGCTCTATATAGTGATTAAGGGATTTAGGGGTTAGGGCAGACATTCGGACAAAGCCTATGATTTCTCAATCTGTAGGACCAAAGAGGTTCGCTATCACTGGTTCATTTCGTGACAGGGCAGTTTTACCAGTTAGTTTTCAGGGGCTCTAAACCTGGAAGTTACAGTTCTGGTGTCACTAGTGGATAAAAGTTATACAGTATTGCTATAAAAATTATTTTTTTATCTCATCTCAACCTTCGAAAGAAATAACAGGAAAGGGAACCAATCCATGCAAAGCTTTGGCAACTGGATCAGAATAATTGTGCCACTGGGGATTTATTAAAGTGTTTTAATATCATTTTGAGTAACTTCTCAAAGGTTAGATTTTTTTTTTTTCAGCTTGAACTGTCAGATAATTCTACTGCAGTACAGGATCAATTCATGCAAAGGCTTTTTATTCACCTTTAGCAGTGGCTCCAATAAATATGTACAGCTATGCAGACTCATGACAACAAGCAGTAAAGCTGACACTATTCATCAGCCCAGTCTAAATTATGCAAGCGCTACAGCAACTAACACACGGCTGACATTTCATCATGAATTACAGACAAATGCGGAACAACGGGGAACAGTCAACGAGATCAATGTGAAAATGTCGTCCAGTAATTTTATTGCACATCTGATTAGTCATTTGGTCAATAGAATTTTCTCAGTCACAAGGCCGAGGTTACCGGCGACCTGAAAAGCCAATTACCACAGCGCTAACAGGGGCACAATGGTGTCAAATCACAGAAAAGCTGGTAGCAACAAGGAAAATCATATTTATTAGGAGAATTAAAGACTCAGAATGAAGAGGCCATGAGACAGCTAATAAATTAAAAGGGAATTTAAATCATCTGTTTAGGACTCTGTGGAAACAATAGAGGAGACAATTAAAGAGCGGCGTCAGTTCTCTATTTTTTCTCGAGTGTGTGTTTAAATTTGTGGTTTTGTTTTTCCGTTGCAAACCGCTTCAGTCAATAACCAAATAATAGTGTAATAACATTCAATGATCCATGAAGAGGGCTCATTGCTGAGGGGGGAATACTAGGTACGTGCGTTTGTGTGTCACAGCAAACACTTCAGGACATTACAAATGATCATAACACCGTACCACTATTTGCTGTAATAGAGGGCCGTTTAAGCAGCATTTCATTGTCATCACAAGTCTGTGGGACCTGTTCTCATGATGACACCAGTTTTAGGATCCAGGTGGAGCTGAAATCACAACGTGTTTTGGTTTTAACCTGCC